TATATGTAGCAACAGTGCTATATCTGAAGTGTCATTCATGAAACTATTCATATTCCATACCCATCTGACCGGAGGAAACTTGGCTAACTGACGATACGAAAAAAAAAATGTTTTTCGAAAAAGAAGTCTCACAAGAAACCTCTAAATGAGCCCATGTCAAAAACGGGCAATTGCTATGTCTGCTCATAACTCACAAAAACGATCATTTATAATTCATACTTTCCGCACAAACAACACATTTTCTGAAAGCTGAGATTCCACAGATTCCATGGGTATACACCCCATCACTACAGGCACAACATTAACCGAGCTGGCAGCCAGAACATAGAAAGTAAACAATATCAGTTTTCAAATCCATGACAATAATTAGGCAAGGCAAGGCAAGGCAAGTTTATTTATATAGCACTTTTCAACACAAGGCAATTCAAAGTGCTTTACAAAAAATGAAAGATATTAAGAAAATGGCATTTAAAATCAGTCAATTAAACATTAAAAGAAAAAAAGTACATGGATAAAAGTTACAGTGCAGTCTAAGATATGAATAGTTCAATTAAAAGCAGCGACAAAAAGAAAAGTCTTCAGCCTGGAGGTCTTACCTTGGCTGTTTTGCAATCAAAAGTTGTGTTCAAAGGAATAAAAACGCTGCTCAGGGTTAATCCAATGTCTCTTGTCACTTTAAAATGATTACTGATAATCAATTCTTTCATTCACGGCAGAAGAGTAGGTCCAACGATTAACAGTCCGTGGCTTCAGCTGCGGGAGATGCAGTTTACGCATAGCTCCCCCTCCGCAGGCGTAACGTATTTACGTAATTTGAAACTGCTACTCGATTCGATTGGCTCTAACGATTCAAAAAATGTGTCAATCACCCAAATCGACCAATGAGTTCCAGAGATAGGAGCTTGCGTAAGTATAAATAAAGGCAGTATAGCTGGTTTACGCACGCCCCACTCTTTTTACGCAGCATACTTGGCTATAGCATAGCATAGCATGTCCCGCGGCGACAGGAGAGCAGAGAACGGCAGATCGATCAGCGAAACAGCAGGATTTGTTTTCTTTGTCTTCATTGTAGCAATGGCAGCCAGAAAGAAGACTTTTTTGTCCGTCGAGGAGGCATTGGACATCGTATTTCAGAACTCTCCGTCGGAAGATAGTGAACTCGTCACTCACAAAGGGGACAGTAATGACTCTGATTATGAACCTCCGTCACCGGAAAGGTAATCTCTCTGTTTGTATCTATTACTTATTTATTTGGTGTAAGAGTATTCATCTGTTTTTATCTTTTTGTTATTTATTTGGTGTAAGAGTGTATTCATCTATAGTAATTTCACACACGTGACAATAACACGACGGCATCCATCTTGTGATATAATGTTCTTTCACACACTCAACAACAAAGAAGATGGATGCCGTTTCTTGTTCTTGAAAAATACAAGACATGTTGAATTTAACACGGTATTACATTTCATTTAGCTGACGCTTTTATCCAAAGTGACTTACAACTATATATATATATATATACACACGCATATATATATATATATATATATATATACATACACACGCATATATATATATATACACACATATATATATACATATATATATATATATACATATATATATATATACAATACACATATATATATATACATATATATATACACACATATATATATACATATATATATACATACATATATATACATATATCTATACATACATATACATATATATACATACATATATATATACATATATACATACATATATATACATATATATATATATACATACACATATATATACATATATATACATATATATATATACATACATACACATATATATATATATATACACACATATATATATATATATATACACACACATATGTATGACAGACAGAATATTAATATTAAATATTGAACAGATTATATGAACCCCGTCTCACATAATTTACACGGTATACATTTTGAGTGATATAATGTTATTTCACACACTCAAAATTGATGTTCTGCTGTTGTTGTAGAGAAATTATTTCTGATTTGAGTTACATTTTTGAAAGTACAAGCCAGAGAATTAATCTATTTGTTTTTTCCACATTTGTTTTCACAGTGAGGAAGGCGATGAGGATATGGCTTCTGGATGCCCGAGTATTATGGGGAAGATGCCACCAAGGTCAGGAGGTACTGCAGGAGGTGCTCTGATGCTGGCAACTGAAGGGTAAAGACACCTGTGTACTGCAGGAAGTGTCAGGTCCCTCTGTGCTTCACTACCAAAAATAACTTTTACAGGGCATGGCATGACTTACTGGAGTAATACTGTAACATTCAGGGTTTGTATAAAGTTTTTTTTTTACCCAAAAAATGCTTGTTGTATAGTGTGTTGCTAATTTTTTTTAATAAATCTGCTCCAGTTGGAGTCAAATGTTTCCTAAGTTTCCTCATTTTTATTGTGCAAGTAACATGCATCTCATGCAAAGAGGGAACTTCCCACACACTCCACACTCCACACACACACACACACACACACACACACACACACACACACACACACACACACACACACACACACACACACACACACACCACACACACCACACACACACCCACTTAAATATATATATTTTTTTTAACAATAATTTTTTTTTTTTTATGGAATGAATACCTATAGTGATAATTAAATGTTGTACAATGATTTTTACAGTCTGGTACCTGAAAAAGGTTAAATGGCACTGATGGAACCAAATGTACCCAAATGTGCCCAAAGCTTAGTCCGCTTGGACTTTTTTTTGCTAAATCTCTCTAAAAAGGTCAATTCTCACTTGTTTTGCCTCAATCTTGATACAGGGTACTTATTATACTTATTTAGGCTACTAACCCATCATTCAAGGGTGGTTTTCACTATAAGTAATGGGTTTTATTTGGGCGGAGACACAAATTTACACTTTTTGACTGTTCCATCTGGATTTACTCTGACACTGAAACATCTTTATTGATTCTGACACTTCTACATCCAACTCACAGATGTGACCTTGCTTTGATAAAATAAATTATTCATATAACCCTTTTAGAAGTTAAGTTATAGTCCTTTGTTTTGGGCATGTCATTTTCGAGCCTGAAACCTGAAAAACAGGCTTGGGGCTTAAGAGGTTAACTTCAGGATGTCTTCTGTCAATCAAAATGAAAATAATGAATGAATGAATCACAAAAAAATGTGCTCTTGTGGCTTAACTTACCCCATTTAAGGGGTAAGTTAACCTTAGCTGACCTACTGGATCATGTGATCTCTCACACCCTACCTGCTGAACCCTTCTCTTTCCAGTTATTTGCTACAGGAATGTTGTTGCTTCTACAATATTTAAACATAAAAAACACTACTTTATACTACAGAAACTTATCTTAACCTCAGTGCCTCATGGCGGGTTAAGTTGAACCACTGGCTCAGTTTACCCCAGCATGTGGCTCACTTTGCCCCAAAGCCACATAATTTTACACCCGGAAGTAAGTATTCTCTCTAATGTCAATAGATTTTACAGTGATATCTGCATTACTCATCAACTCAAAAACACCAGAGTATACCTGTTAAGGCGAGACACTACAGGTGAATAGGCAAACAAATTTCACTTAAAGATATCAGGAAGAAATGTCTGCAGTTAATTAGGCTACTTACATTAAGACAATTGTTTTTTGTATTACAAGTTTTAATATAGCACTTGAAATGTTTGGCTCTATGAAACCTGATGTACTTATATGATTCTGTTTTCTTCAAGGTTGTGTCTTCTTGGTCGAATGTACTTATTGTAAGTCGCTTTGGACAAAAGCGTCAGCTAAATGCAATGTAATGTAATGTAATATACGTGAGAAGGATTTCAAGATGGCGCCTGTGTCGGCATGCCGCTCCCTCAGCTCTCTGCCTTTAGCTATCCTGTTTTTGTTTTATGTTTGTCAGAATGTCCCTGCTCTGCTTGTCTATGATCACCAAGCTCTCCTCCACCTAAGACCCTCACTGGAGTTTATACTGCTGCCCAAACCTATATCTGGCAACCGTAAATCGACTCCCCCCCCTCTACTGTCAGATATTCCCACCTACCTGCGCCGGTTGCCCTGCATCCTGCCTCACCGAAAGCGCTTTACCCCCAAAACACACCAGGAGCGTCTACGTCGTGTTACGGCCGCGCCGCGGCGGTCGTAAGGATCGCGGCCACTCTAGTCAATGGGTGCTATTACACCACACGCGCCGTGTTACGGCTCAGACGCGTCCCAGAAGCGGCTCGGCGCAGCACTTCTCTAAAATTAGGATGAGTCCTATTTTTGCCGCGGCACAGCCGTAAGGTAAAGTCGGGCAGGCAGCCCCCCCCTCGCAGGAAGTGGAAAGGTGAGCATCCGGGCCAGGCCCATCCCCCACATATACTAATTTAGCAGACCCCACAACACCTCCACTACGAAACGCACCATGGACGACGAGGTGTTCATAATGGAAGTGGAGAAACACACAATTTTATATGATGTAACCAATGCTTTTTACAAGGACAACATCAGAAAGGACAAGGCCTGGTTTTTAGTCGCTGCAGTTTGTGGAGTGGAAGGTAACAACTACATATTAATGTTTTAAAGTTAATTAATACTTGTAGGTACAGTACAGAGCCATTCAGTAGTTTAACATCTTGTGAAAGTCGTTAAAAAACTGTTCAGTAAACTTGCATTTCACAATAAAGTAAGATCTTATTTCCTATATCAAGATTATTATATTATTATTATAAATATTGGTTTTTTAACTATACTTTATCTTGTGAATTTCGCCCAGGGATCAATACAGTTGTGTTTAACTCTTTATAATGATATTATATTTTTGTATTATAATTTGTTTTTATTCATGTGTTATAACAACTACCCAAAATACTCTCAATAATGTTTAAATACAGTATGCTGTGGTGGAAAACCTTGCATTTATAGTCAGATAAATTGTGAGGACAGACAAGAATAATTTGGCAGTCATTTGTCAGACAAAACTATTTATTATAAATTGTATTACTCAGTGCAACAGCCAGTCTCTGCTTGGGTTCTATGGCAGCTCTGAAATGTGTGGATTGTCTGGTCAGTTCAGGGCCCAGGAGGGACAGAAGTTCATCCATCTGCTCTGCACTCATCCGAAAATATTGGTGATGTCGTTGGCTGTCCAGCCTCAGCTCAGCCACGAGGTGATGAAAATCACCTTGTTGTCTCCTTTGCTGGTTGAGGGGGTGCACCCATAACCGGCTCCTTCTCCTCCCCCCATCCCCCCGTAGTCTTTCAAGTAGGAGAATACATGCCAGCGTTCTCCTCCGGTTTACAGGCACTGTAAATGATATATATATAGAATAATTATGATGATGAATGCATATTTTTTTACCACTAAAATACAGCAACACATCTTTGATTCATGTAGTTTATAACTGGAATATTACAATTATTATTAACTGTGTCTGTAGTCTACAACACAACAAAATAGGAAATAACAACAATAAACACGATTTAAACAGACACAAACATAAACCATTTAACTACGTATAGCCTACTTACTTGTAGAAGTACAAATGTCCAGGAAATATTCCAAAATCAACAACAACTGCGAGGCTGCACACACGACGCTCCGCTTCCGCAACGTTTTGAAACGCGTCTGGTGTGTGTTGTCGCAGGAGGAGGTCGCAGCGTGGCGCAGCCGCGACGTAACGCGGCGCAGACGCTCCTGGTGTGTTTTGGGGGTTAGACGACGGGGAAAGCGTAGTGGCGCGCTTGCCCATCAAAAAGCACACCTGACGGCTTCTTCCGTGACTTATCCACGCATCAGATGTCATGGCCCTCCCGCTGCACGCCATCCGAGGGTTCGGTGGATTCACCCTGTCTTTCCGGAGCTGCGGCCTCTGCTGGGCCCGCTGGCAGCTCCTCCTGCCCGACTGACTACTCCCGGTCCGCGCGGCGTTCAACACGCACATCTTCGTCAGCTGAGACGCACTACACCTTCGGCCAGCCCTGAGAGAAAACTCTGCATGGCTTTGCTAAATGCTAGGTCAATAGCAAACAAGACGTTCCTGTTAAACGACTTCTTCACCTCTCATGATCTGGATTTAATGTTCCTGACGGAGACCTGGGTCCACACCGGCGAGTATGTACCGTTTTCTGAACTTCTTCCTCCCGACTGTACTTTCTTCAGCTCCCCCCGTACCACCGGCCGTGGTGGGGGTATAGCTTCAGTGTTTAGAGCTAATCTCCAATGCTGTTTGCTTCACCCAGTAACTAGCTATGCTAGCTTCGAGTTGCAGCTTTTTGAATTAAACCTAGCCTCGCCTATACTCTGCGCAGTCGTGTATCGTCCGCCAAAGTACAATAATGATTTTATAACTGACTTTTCTGAATTTCTGTCCGGGATCATGGTGAAATATGATCGTGTTTTGATCTGCGGAGACTTTAATGTCCATGTGTGCTGCGAGTCCAAACCTCTGGTTAGGGATTTTTTAAACCTCCTCGACTCTTTCGGTCTCATTCAGTCTGTGGCTGGCCCAACACATGATAAAGGACACACCTTAGACTTAGTATTATCGTTTGGATTGTCTATCTCTGTGGATGAAATCTGTGCAGGAACCATAGACTGTATATATAAATGGACGTAGGGTCCGTGACGTCACCCATAGGATTCTGCAGAGTTGCCGTGAAGCCCTTAGTAGGCGGAGTCGGCCACTAACTGCTCGACAGTGACGTCAGAGTTCAACTCCCGCCTGTTTCAGCCCGCTCCAAATAAGGGCAAAGAGGCGGAGCCGAGGCGGGACCTGCTGCCACCGAGCTGAAAGTTCCAGAGCTAGCTGAAGCTACCAAGCTAAGCTAACATGCTCCCCATCTGCTCCCCGTCGCATTTTACGTTTCTAAGGTAAGCGGACATGAAACTATAAATAATAATCAGTTATTGAGTTTTTAGCATAATACTTCAGAATCTTAAAACCCCTTAAAGGGCCCATTGCATGCTTTTCCGGTTATTACCCGTCTCCTTGTGTGTTATGAAGGTGTCCATGCATGTAAACAGTCTGCAAAGTCAAAACCCCTCAAAGTACACCCTGTAGGGAGTAAAACTCTAACACAGAAAAGACCTCCCCCAAAAGCCTCGTTGGAGATTTCTCAGTTTCCATTGTTTACTTCCTGCCCCGCGTGACGTAGCTGCACCGCGTGACGTCACTTCCTCTGCCAGCCGACCATATTAAGTGTCGTAAAACCTGCTTCTTTTCAAAGCTCTATCCAGTCATGTTGCCTGTCTTGTGTGGAGAAATCCACAATGTTTGCAGTACCGAAGGCAGAACCACGACGAAGTCAGTGGTTGACATTCCTTTTTAACACTGTTCCAGCTGATTTACCAGCCGGTACTGTTGTGTGTGCGCGGCATTTCACGGACCAAAGCTTTAAAAACTTAACAATGTTTAGCTTCGGACTTGCAAAGCTGATATTGGAGGACGATGCTGTTCCTACTTTGTTTGTACCAGCGAGAGATTCGGGTACACAACCTGTAAGTATTCATTGTGGTTTGTGTATTTATTCTGTTTAAAACAAACAATGTATCTACCACGACTGTGTAAATGCTATGCTAATGCTATGCTACCGAGGTAAACACGAGGGCTAACGAGCATTCCCAGACCTCAACACCGATGTTAGCACATGGCCTTACATGTATCTCATAGCAGGAGAATGTCTGCAAACACAAACAAAATAATCAGACAGTATACTCCGGGTGATTTAACCGTACGGTCAGTAATTACAGTTGCCGTTCGTGTATTCTACCGAGCTACCATTAATAAGCTAAGCTAGAAGCTCTAACCTAGAGATGTTATGAAAAACATTGTTTTCATGCCAGCTACAATGAATGACCGAACGTAACAGACTAACTGTATAATATTGCAATTGTAAGATGTTCTTGCTAAGCCTAGACTAGCTGTTAAACTGCATATTAGGTTAGCATATGTGTGGAATTTCCACCACACCCTTGAATGTTGTCCATCACAGCACGTCATTTCCACACTATGGCTTGAATATTAACTTATGCATGTGCTTTTTTTTTTATCAGGTTTGTCCAAGAAACTTCTGAAACTTACACAGAACAAGGACTGTGACACGATGTTGAAGAGGTGGCTGCGCAGCATAAAAAACCATGTCTACTGGAGTGCAACGAGCACAACCTCAGGGCCGGAGAAGGTGACAAGGTGGACGTCACTGGTCAACCACCTACAAAACGTTCACGTGCATGATGACCCCCTGTTCCCCAAGTGCACACATCCTGTAGGAGCCGCAAGCGATGCAAATAAACCTTACCTAAAAGGTGGTAAGTTCAATATGTCACTTCCTTCATAAGATCAACAATATAGAATGTAAATATAACATTGTTGTTATGGCAAATTATTGTTGTAATGTTCTAATGTGCTGGTGATTTACCTAATGTCTTTGTCATTTTACTCAAGGCTCAATAACACTCGCCAGAGTTGAAACGATACTCACCAACAAGAGAGTTCTCAAAGATGTGCTAAAGCTAAGCCATCACTACCAGACTTCATCCCTGGAGTCCTTCCACAACTTAATTCTGCGTTTTACCCCAAAAAATGTGGTTTTCCCCTTCATTGGAATGTTGTGCAGGTAATACACTGTATACTTTATTCTGTAGCATCTTATAACACAGTCACTGTTTAGTGGCATGAGGGTTTTATTCTGTCATAACACAAAGTCTCATTTTATTTTGCTATTCTATAGGTTGTGTCTAGCAGCAATGCATCACAACGAGAATGCTGGGTGTGACCAAGCGACAACTGCTGCAGGAAAACTTCAAATTGGCTTATCCAAAATCAAAGAGGGGAGAGTGTACGGTCAAGCCTGTTAAGAACGACCCTACATACAGTAAGTTGTGAAATATTTGTTTTTATTTTTATTATTATTAACAACTTACATTTCAAATGATTAAAGATACAATGAACAATAAAAGTATTACATCAAATACAAAAAGTGAATAACAATAACAAATTATTTATACAATGCTTTCTTTTTCAGTCTATGTGGATGAGCTGACGAGGCTTGTGTTTCACACAGTCTTTCTGGACCCTACACCCTTTGTGGACGAGCTGAAACTAATCCATGTCCCAGAGGACCTGTCAACTCAATTTGACAGGCTCCCCAAGGAGGAAATGATTGTCAGCCGTTTCTCCCGTTTCCCCCCAAAGGAGGTCGAAATCCTACATATTGTCCAGCCAGATCTGGAAACTCCTGGCGGATCCGGAGCACAACACACGACGGAATCACCACTCTGATGCCTCGCCCTAAATATCCCCAGCACCAGCTTACAAAGCTATCGAAAACGCCTATCAGGAGAGGAATGGATGATGTAGTGTATAAATATACATTCACACATTTTGTACATTTGTAAAAATAAAGTTTGATGGAAATACTTAGTAGCCTTTCTTTCCTGAATTATTTGCTCCTATAACATATCATTCATATATAGCAAACCATGATTTGATTTCTCATCAAACGGTAGTAGTTTATTACAGGTAACAATAACTTACTCTTCTTCCTTTGTATTTGTCAAAGGTCCGAAACTGTATTTATAAATATTGTGGAGATTCTGCAGTGTGTATGGGTTCAAGCAGTTAGGCTCTAGTCCTGGGTGGTCAACCATGCAGTTAATGGGTTCTGGAACTTGCAGCATGCGTGTTACAACCTATGAAGGTAAGATGTGTTACAAAACACGTTTAGCAATTACACCAACTATGGGAAAGGTTTACAAAATAAACATTAAATTACTAAGGAAGTAATAAAAGTACATATAATAGTCTATTGACTTGAAAAATATGTATGTTGTATATCTTGGTATATGTGTGCTACTGTTGGTGTTTTCAGCTAGCTGCCGACATAATGTAACTAAGCTAGGCTACCTTTCTTATGCTATTGCAGCACACGTTTTCTCCGTCACTTGGCATCAAAGCGCAGTTTCCACAACGGCACCTAAATAACAACAGTTGTAGGTACATCTGAAATGTAAGATATATACTAGATAAAAACGTACCACAATGACACTGTTTGGTCTGCTCTAGTGAACGGCGAGGCAAGACACGCGATTTTGTCTATTCTAGGATCGAACGGAGGTTCGAAATTGTATGCTTCATACGCCATTGTATGCTATATGTAAGCTATCTATTTATCTATATAACTCTATCTATCTATCGATTCTCAAATCTAGTATTGCTATGTTGCTAAGTACCCGCTAAACCACTTTACGGCAGATGTCAACAGGGGCAGAGCCTCTCTGGTGGTTGACTAATCAGAACAGAGTGGCAGAGCTGACCAATCGGAGCACACTGGACGCACAGGAGGGTGGGGGCAGGAACTCCATCGAGCCGTTTAGCACAGGGAGTGAAAACTCATACTATACAGAGATAATGTATGAGAAACCAATCTGAGTTTGGAAAATTGCACAGTATTTTTCTATTGTAATATCCCTCAACAATGGTATTATGATCAGTAGAAAGGACCATGCAATGGGACCTTTAACGTTTGTATGTAATTGTGCTAAATTCAACACTGTAATCAAGCAAATATGAATATGTTTGCATGACATTAGTTATTTATATTTTGATATCACTTAACTATACGTTTAATACATTTAAGTCAAGCTAAGGTACATGTGATGGTAGCTAGTTAGTGCTCTTACCTGTGAGGCCTCCTCCAAACAGCATAATAACCAGACCATATCATTAAAACTAAGTACCAGTTCTAGATCCTTGACTTTAGACAAACAATTCAAAAGATAAAATGTATTTAAAGACCAATCTTTATTTGAATGTGCCTCTTAACCTGAGATATTAGTTATACAGTAATAGTATTGACAATCTAAAAAAACTGAGCAACTCAACAGTCAACTTTATGTTTCTTATTGTCTAAAGCATTTATTATTTTCATTTTCCCAATCTCATATTCAGTGTGGACGGATTGAGACAGCATGGTGTCTAGAGAGCTGCAGAGACTTCAGGGAGAAACCTCCGTGTGATGGACGTCCTGTCTGTTGGTGTGGAGAGGACTGAGGGTCTTTCCTCTGCGAGAAGGACTGAGGGTCTTTCCTCTGCGAGGAGGACCAGGGCTGATGAAGGAGCCCATACTGGGCAAAGCTGATACCAACTGCACAGGCCTAGTCTGTCACTTTATTTTACTAAATGTGTTTACTTATACATTTAATAGGTTTACACCTTCTGTCCATATGTGCTTTTGGTTCACACTTCAATAAATTGTATTTGCATTTGCACTCCTTTTGTCCATTATTCTTACTGAAAATGTTAGATTACACATTCACATCTGACTGAAGATTGGCCCCATTTATTTGTGACGTTGCAAAACAAGGTACATGTTGTGAAGCTCATAAAGTGAGGCAAATAGAAATAATCAGCTGATGGAGTGTAGATGTGGAAATAGCTGCATTCGATCAGCTGACTGTTTTTACAATAAAAGTAGTTTCTTAGTGAATGTCCTGTACTGGTCTTGAAATCTCATAACATCAGCTTTTAATGTTCCTCTTGGATGTTCTTCTTGACCCTCAGAGAAGGAGAAAATGTAGTGTCTTTCAGGCATGTCCTTTCCTAACAAAAATGACAGGAAACATAAAACATATTATTGCAGAACAAGTGTGTTATTTATGAAAGCGGTGTGTTTGTGTGTTTAGGGGCTGTAGATATAATTATTTTGTATGTGTAATGTTTTTTTTTTATTTCAACAGAGCTACAAAGACAATCAGATTATGAATGAACAGTATGAATTTCATCAACATTGAAATATATGTTATTATCAAAATAATATTGAACTGTTATAAAAACGTAGTGCAACTGTAGAAGCTTGCTCTGTTGTCTCACTGAAAGAATCACTTTTACCACGTTTTTTACAGACAATATTGAGAGATAAATAGTAGCAGTTCTCACTATGTATTAAATATCGTTGCCTTCAATACATTAAATTAGAAAGCTGACAAAGTCATATTGCTTGTTAACAATAACATCTAAATGTAACTTTTTGCATGGATAAAACCCTCAACTTAACTGATGTGTAGGTGATCTAGTATTTAGTATTGTTTAATGGAATGTATATCAGTGTATTCAAGTCAATACTTCATTCATTTAAACCAATATCTTTCTTGATTCTTTGTACAGTATGAAAAAAATAGTCTTTGTACCTGTGCTGAAGTTCACTGCTGTGAGGAGTCCAGTTCTGTCTCTCACTCTCTGGTCCAGCCTGTCTGCATCACCTGGACACCTTAAACAAACAAACATATATATATATATATAAAGTACCATGTGTACAAAAAATATAACTGATTCTCTTCTGTTGAACATGTTGGATTGTGTATTGTCCGAGTCAGGGGCCTTTTTATTTTACTGTAACTTTGGAAGTTGTGTTACCAATGCTTACTGTTTATTTGATACCCATTTGGTAATGCAATTAATAAAAACAACAAGGTTTGGGTTCGTTCTTCAGATGACTGTGACGTTAACGTGTAAGCTCAATAATGCTCCAGCTCAACCAACCATATTGTAATATCTAACTAATCATCTTGAAATATGACATTAATTGTAATATACACACATCTTATTGTGAGGTTGATTTCACATACACTATTTCGACGTTAGCTTGTCTACATACTTGAGCATAGCCAATTTAAATTAACCTTAGCGATGCATACAGTTCTACCTACATAATAAAATATCTCTCTAAGTTACAAGGATGACCTTATTTTATCAACCTCAAACAGAAGCCGTTTGTTCTACAGTATTATCCCACTTAACGCTTAACACTTGTCTATTTCGTTCTAACCTTTATATATACAGTCTATGATTGTAACTTATAGGCTACGATTAGCATCGTTAGCACCGATGTAGCTACCACTCGCTTACAACTAAACCAAGCCTTAACATTCATTACGTTGCCGATTAAAATCATTAACACATAAATAAGTACTCGAATTTCACTTACCGCCAAACCGCATTCATGCACCGTCTGTTTTAACCGCAGAGCGAGTCACAATAGTCCGATATATAAGCATGAAGAACAAACAACCACGGCCGGCTTCAAGTTGTGTTCCCTGGATGAACTGAGCAGGCAGATTCCCTTTAGCTTCACGGAGCAGGTAGCAGAGAGACAAGAAGCCAGGAATGGGACGGGGTCGGATGTGGGCGGGGTCGGACGGCCGACCCCTCCTCCGCCCCTCTCGTCACTTGACAGAGCCGTCACTCAATGTGACCACGCCCTAATTTATGCAAAAACGTTAAGACCTAATATAAATAAAAGGGTCGTGTTAGAAAACAATTCACTCACAGATCCATAATCATGAAGGTGGAACCTAACTATATTCATAATAATATGTATTGCATCCATGGGTAGAAATATGTTTTTTTCTGCTGTAAAGTTGGGCATTTTAACATGGGGGTCTATGGAAATTGCTCCTTTCTGCAGTCAGTCCCTATCGGCCAATATATGAACTGCAGTGTGTGGCACTTCCGTATTGGCGTCCCGGCTCTTCCCCAGAGTTTGCCGCTTGGTGAGAATACAAAAAAAAAGAAAAAAAAGGGAGTCGAGGTATGGAGAGGCGAAGTCACGCCCATCTACTTCCGGACCATGGGACCCCGGAAGCGAAAAATTTACATTGAATTCAATGGAGAGAGAACACGTATCTTTTGATCCCGTTTGAATTGTGCCACAAACTATGATGATATGATGTTTGTCAATCTTAAACAATCATTTCCATGTCAAAAAAGTCACATTTTGTCGTAAAACTGCTGAAATATAATACTATGAAAAATACGCTACTACAAAGACTACAAATCCCAAATCCCATTCTGGGTCGCGTAAGTGATGTCACAGGCATGCTCGGTGATTTATAATAAGACTCGTAATTAAAGCGAAGAAGAAGAAGATCTCATAACTGATTTATTCCCTCCAATAAATGATAGATCGCTAAAAATAAATTCACTTTTACAAGATGCCTGTGTGCTTTGTACCAGGTTGTAGTCATAAAAGTGATCATACCACTTGCTCCTTCTATCGATTCCCGTCTGATGAAAGGACCAGGAGTCGCTGGATCAGACATATCAGGTAATATCATAGGTAATATACATGTTGTGCATGGAACATAGTCAAGTTAGCTACCTAGCTAGTAGCGACGAGTAGCGAGCACGTTAGTTAGCATTACATTACTTAGCCTTGTCATTTTTAGTAGCCTTACCATGAAGTTATTATTTTATTACATGAAGTAAACCAAAATGTTAAACAGTAACCAAACATGATGGTATTTCGTGAAACTTTTGAAGAGTAGCCTACTGCGCCCTCCACCGGGTGCTAAGGAAGCAGTTCAGGGAGAGTCG